TAACTTTTCATAGCTACGACACAATTTCAATCATCTTTTTTTCAGATGATAGCCCTTCTCATTCTCTACAAAACTGTATATTTCAATCAACTATCTATATATGTATTCATGTAGATAACATTAATTTACAGAGAGGGATCGAAACTTTCTGACCACCCTTTAGTTTCTATATGAAACATAAATCTCCCATCTGATGAACTTTCTTCATCACTCTCGTAAGTTAAAATCTATAGTGCATGCGTTTGTTGAGAAAACAGCTACAAGAGAGTTTAGTCTTGGCTGAATTGTTTTACGCAACTGGAAAATCAATCAGTTTAACTACACATCTCAGCAATGAAGTTGCTTGGCTCGTTGGTTCTTACAGTTCATTGAAGTTTACTTCTGCAAGAATACAGAAACCAATTTGATTTTTCCTCGTATGATACTGGGTTGGATATTTTTCGTAGAGTGACACATGAGGTCGAACCAGAAGATCTACTGCTCAAAGGCTGCTAGTCAACAATAAAATCTCAACGACAATTAGTATTCTGCGATTCATCTGACAATCAGAACCATGCGTTATAAGCTAAATAAATGCATGTAACCTTTATGTCATACGTTTTCTTAAGACAACGATGCATCGGTCTATTTGGATATTCAGTTTATCAGTCTGTAGTAGAGCTAAAGCATCCATATCTCAAATACAGTAGCGATATTATTAATCGAAAACATTATCAAACCGGGGATATAGAATAAGTATTTACCTGCTGTTTGTGTATCTAGAAATGAAATGACGGTAAGAGAATACTAATAAGTAATTTATTCCTATACTTCGAGCACATAACTGTGAACATCAAGAAAACAGCAATTAAACCGTTAAACATGGGATACCTTTGAAATGGATAGCTGCTTTTTTTCATACTATACCAACATGAGAATGAGAGCCATTTAAATGAAAAAAAAAACAGAATCTATTATATTGTCCATATAACTCACATTTTCCTTCAGGTTTATACTTTCTCATAAAGTGTACTGCATAGCGTAAAAACTAATAATAAGTGACTAGTAACTATCGTTAAATTTGAAGTATGATTGACGATTATCATCAAGTTGTAAATAGTTTTATATTAGGCAGACCGGTAGATGTCTGTACTAGACAAAAAATATTCTTATTTTAGAAGAAAATATGTCTATCATGGAATGCAAATAAAATACACTAGCAGACTACTTATTCTGTTACCTAAGGAAATAAATATGGAACAGAATGATTTGAATAAAGTTTTAATTCACTCAGGTTTTAGATCCTCTCAATGCTGAGCATGCATAACATAATATATTGTTTTCCGCTTAGTTTCAGTAGAAGTTAAAATCATGTTAGATCGACATCCGGCTCGGTGAAGCTTCATTTTTCATAACTTCCAGCTTTTGTCTTATTTCATTCGAAACTATTATGTTATATTCTCTACCACAATTAGAAACTCTTCTGATTTATCAAGACTACCACGAAATTGACTGTTATTCGGCTTTTGGTGCTTAAATTGTGAAAGAAAGTCGATGTCTCATTTAGAAATGACTTAAATCCTTCATCTCTACACAATTTTCTAAAAGCAATGGTTTTAGAAATGTTAATTAAATGCAGTTGCATCTGATATGTATGAACATGAGCTATAATTTCAGTATTTTTCATATATCCACATTAATGAATCCAGGAATTTCCATGAGATTCTCATGGGATTTTCGGGATTGCCATGGGATTTCTGGGATTTCCATGGGATTGTCGAGACTTCTATGGGATTGCCGGGATTTCCAAGGATTGCCAAGGTTTTTATGGGATTGGCAATCCGCCGATCCCCTTTTGCTGCTTCACGTCTTTTTTACCGTATTACCCACTGCAAATAAAAGCATCTTCTTGAAAAACAGCACATTCAGCTCTATTGGACTCCACAGTTTTCCAATGAAAAAGGTGATGGAAATTCTTCATCCAGTCTGGAAGGTGACATGGAGTATGAAAGGTCCTGTTGAGCTATTAGAGAAAGTAAATTAATGAAGTATAATCAGGTGTGTCATTGGTGATCCTGAGACACAAAGTGGAAATTCGCTATCATAAAACATGTCGTTCACGATATAATAGATCTTCGACACGGCACATTTAGACTGTTACATGTTGTTTTTTCTCTTTTTTTTTACAATTCTTCATCAAGAATATGCTTAAAGCGTTTTGAAACAATATCCATCAAAAACTGATGGTATAATACCAGTATCCAAATGCAGTAAAAACCGTTAAAAAACTTTGAATACATTTAGAAATAAAGGGAAGCGTGAGAAAGTACCAAGAAGAATCAAGAACTATGAGCATAAACCGAATCGAACGTGAACGTGAAAATACTATCAAGTGCAAAAGCGCATCTAATCCTTTTTGCTCTCAATAGTAGGAAATCGTTTTCGTCAACAGAAGAAACGCGGATTCGAAAAGATTCAGGTACTTATTGACAGCTTGTACAGTTCATTTCGAAGCACCATTACTATGAAAAACACGATTCTCTTCCTCACGCAAAATCGAAGTGACTCCCTGTTTCGTCTTTTTCATTCCGGCTTCCCAGTCACCTAAAATTGTTGGGCCAGAACATCACATAAAAAGTCTAAAGTTTTCAGAAGACATAACTCTGATTACTGCCATCATCATAAATAACCATCTCTGTTTGACTCTGGAAACCAATTGCCTAACCTTAATCGCGCTCTAAAAGCAACTATCCTCTGATGCTATCGATGATGGTGCAAAACTCACCACTAGCTAGACACAATTACTCAGTATAGGCTCACGAAACATATCCAGTGAAAAAGCTGTTAGCGCAATCCCTCGCGGGATTAAAGATGTGAAACACGATGGGTATGTTGTTACTAATTAAATGGAAATCATTTTGTTCCATTACTTTGCAAAACCTTTTTAGCCAACCGTTTATCTGATGCTTTAGAACGACAGTTTCAGGACTGCCGCGAGGTGTTAAAGATTGGAGGGGGTCGAACAATTTTTTCAAAAAAATTTAGAGATTTATTGGAAATCTTAGAGATTTTCGAAAACTTTTCAAAAATCTTTAAGGTTTTTTCAAGAACCTTAGAAATTTTTCAAGAATTATTGAAAATTTTTTGGGATTTTTTAAGGGTCTTACAAATTCTTCAAGAATTTTCTTAAAAATTAAAAAAAAAGATTCAGT